ATTACAATATTGAATTTTAGTTATAATAATAATAATAATAAAGGTCAAATCTGACGAGCCGGCGAGCCGCGCTGGCCCAAAAACCAACGAGCCAAGCTTTCGAAACGAGCCACGAGCTCGTGTGGATATGGGCCGAGCCGGCTCGGCTCCGCCCATTGCCACCTCTAGAAGGGATGAGATAGATTAATATTTTGACTGATAAACGAGATATGCTCACGAAATTTCAAAAAAAAAAAAATTCAAATATTCACTATCTCTTATAAATTTGATCCTTTGTTTCACCGTTCCCCTCTTGCACATTTTCGAGCCTATATTCGTTTCTCAACCATACATGAAAATAATTTTTGAAGGTTGTATGGAGAAGTTGAAAATTGAAAATGTTCACACAATTATATAGAAATAAATGTTGTAGCACTTTTGCTCATTGTTTTAGAAGTCGATCCAGCAGCCGAGTCGGCTCAAAAATCAGTGATCCAGTTTCAGCACCAGGTCAGGTGCTCATTGGACCGGTTCTAACCCATCCAACCGGGCAGGTTTTATATAGAAAGTGATAGGGATGACAATGGGACGAGTATGGGACGGATCGGCCATCCCCATCGCATCGGGTGTTTTTGTTACCCTGCCCCATCCCCATACCCGTTTAAAGAGGGCGGGGCTTCTGCTCCATTTATTTTATTTTTTGCTTTTATTTATTTTATTTCTTTATTTAGTAAATATTATTACTTTTTTACCAATTTATTAGAAACTTATTTTCTCTTTAAAAATATGATAAATTTATTATTTTTGTTTGATAAAAAACTTAAATTTAAAATTAACTTTAAATGGGACGAGTAGCGAGGCGAGAACTATGATTCCCGTACCCGCCCCATACCCATTTCGGGACAATGATCGTTGCCCCGTCCCCGCCCAATTTACCCGATTAGGCAGGTAATTCCCGCCCCGTTCGGGACGGGCCCCCACGAATTTCGGATTGAACGGAGTTTTTTGTCATCCCTAGAAAGTGACCACCCTTTTCGCCTTAACCGCCCAGTTCAAATGCAATGCACCAATGCTTTCTTGCACTATGAAACCGTTACTTCTTAATTCTTATACAAAAAATTAATAAAATACTTTTTCAATTAACTCTATCTTAATGTAACTGAAATGACTTTATTATTCGAGTAATTCATTACGACTTTAACATATTACAAGCGAGTATTTTAGAAATTTCTTGAATGTATTAGAATCAAATTGATCATAATCAGTAATTAACTAACTTTATTATTGTATACTTAAGCTAAGATCACGACAAAAATATGTCACACGTACCCATGAAAATTAATAATGATAATAAATAACTTCATTATTGCATACTTAAGCTAAGAGCGTGACAAAAATATGTCATACATACCCATGAAAATTAATAATGATAATAAAGTACGCACAAGACCGATTGTAAAGTGGTTGAGCTCTACCTTGAGGTGGGCCTCGACCACCCTCGCAAAGGGAGTGATTGCTAAGCAAAATGGTTTGAGCTCGATTGCTCCCATAACAAGTGGTGGCTACGTGAAATATGTTCATTTGGTCCCTCTGTTGTTAGAAAAAATTTCGCCGTGTGTCTATAGTTGCATATAAAGGTCTCCTGACATTTTAAGTGAATTTCAATGATATAATTCACTATATTTATTACTTTCCTGAATTATTTTCTTTAAGTACTGATTATTATATTGAAAGAGGTGACAAGGAAATCAAGTCAAAGGGTCGGACCTCAGTAGGTATTGAAATTGCTTGGAACCATTAGACGGGGTGGAATTTAATCGTTGCTGAAGGAAATTGACAATTGAACCTCAAACAAAGAAAGCGAGGAAAGAAGGATTGACTTAAAATTCATAATACCAAACTTAAAATAATAAACAAATGCAGATTTTGATAAAAGATGATGAAGCTCCTTTTTGTTTTAGCTAAAAATCATATTTTTAGTAAATTTTAATAAAACTTAATGAAATGCATAGTTACAAAATTAATAAAAGTTACGACTCTTAAAAATGTGATTAAAATTAAGGAATGTGCTACTTGTATATAATGCGATGTCCATAACGATATCCACCCTCTCAAATGGAGGGGGACCCACTGCAGATATATTATATTTTATTCGAGTGAGTCTCTCTCTATGTGAGGTGGTGAACACCGTTATGAACACCGCATTATGTACTTGTAGCATCACACTAAAATTAATTGTTGATTTTGATTTACGTAATAAAACATGAATGCAGTCAATCAAGGGAGCACAAAGTCATTTTGGGCTTAATTCACACGAGACCCGGCCCATGTTTCTGGGCTTACCCGAATTTGTCCTTTCTCCTTCCCCTTCGTTTGTGCCTAGATTTGGGAAAGTTGGTGACGGGTCACTTCATTGTACATTAATAAAGTTCTTACGGACGTCACGCACTCGAATAATCTGATAAACATATTATCGGAGAGCAAATTCAATCGAAATATACAGAAAATAGTTGGTAAAGATGCCGAAAAAAATGGGTGTGCACAGGAACAGAAGGAGCTCGAGAAGAGCATGAAAGAGGTCGTGCGATTGCACAGATTGCGGTGACGGATACTTTGCCCCCTGATAGGCACCCGGAGAGGCAGCTCAAGGCTTCTTTTAAGGTGCAATTCCATTATTCAATTCTCTGTTTCTGGGTAATTTTTATTTTCCAATAGATACTTTAGTATTTCGATATTATTTAAGAATAATAAATATTTTTTAAAAGATAGGTGTCTCAGTTACGGAAACTGTGAAAGACTTTGTAGAACTCTTTAGCTTTTAATATTCTGTAAATTATATGAAGAGAGAATTCTCGTGTACGGTCCTGTGACATTTGGAATGTGATGAACTTCGCCCTTAGGATATTAATTGATGGAAGAATGTGTGGTTGAAAAGTAACGAAAAGTTTTAGATTTGTGTGTAATATTATTTTATTTGGAGAATGTGTGGTTATAATTAAGAAAGAGAAATTTTTTTGAAAAAATTAATGTGTGCGAAAAAAACGCTCTAGGAGTTCATAAAACATTGAAAGAATTGCAGGGATTGTCATCGTCATCTAGATGGGTCATGGGTGATAATCACCATTGGCGATAGATAGCAACATTCGAGTGGGAAGGATGCAAACATTCCACGTGGTCCCAACTTAGTGCTAGTGGTACAACATGACGACTAATATCTTCCACACTCGAAATTTTGGATTTATGTGTAGTATTATTTTATTGATAGAATGTGTGGTTGAAATAAAGAAAGAAAACAGAATGAGAATGAGAATGAGAAGAAAATTGGTGTCAAACGGGCGAAGCTGTTCCTCCCAAAATTGCTCTTACAGGAAAAGTGGGGAAGCTTTGTTCTTTCTATCTTTACCTTTTTCTACTTTATCTTCATCATTTTTTTTTTCCTCCTGACAAATGATGGTGTTTAGAAAAGGAAAATAAGAAAGTGGAAATCAATTAAGCAAGAATTTTTCTATACCAAAGGGAAGGTGATTAATCTTAAATCATGTTTAGCTATCTTTCTGGGTGGATAGTACGTGCTTTGTTATGCATAGCTGTATCTGCTAATTTGGCAATGCAATATGTCTCCTCTCATTTTGGCCTAAATTTCTTATTTTTCCATGTGTTGTAATTCTGAAAGTTTTCCCTCTAAGAGGCATTATTGGTCTTTGTATTGTAAACTTGTCTTGATACTTTGAGGACATTTTGCTCAATTTTGTACGTTGAACTGTTACCTTCACATGTTCCATGTGCACAGTTTGCTTTGTTGCTCTTGAAGTGAACTTCTGCAATGATGCTTGACCCTTTTGTTGCAGGCTTTTGAAGAAGCTGAGCTTCCAAGGTTGAAGGAAGAGAAGCCAGGTCTTACACACACACAAATACAAAGATCTGTTTTGGAAGCTGTGGAAGAAATCTCCTGACAACCCGCTTAACCAGGTATAAAAATCTATTTCGGTTTAATATGATATTGACCACCCTCATATGCATGGTTTAGTTCTGCAACTATGGCCTTGACATTCATCGAAAGCGGACTCATTGGTAGTCTAACCTAGTTTGACTTGAAAGCCAGGTGGATTTGGATTTTCAATTGAACCTAGATAAGAAGTGTAATATCATGGGCCCGTTTAATTCTTCCACTGTTACTCCAAAATCAAATACAAGCAAAAGATAAATTTATATGGAGTTTGTGTAGATGAACGGTTCTGGACGCATTGCCAAATCTCGACAGATATACATGTTTTATAACAATTGTTGATTTAGTCATGGCTCTGTGTCATATAACAAAAGCAGAAATGAGCCATAAAATACTTGGTAAAAGACGGATAAAAATTTCGGTTGTATTTTTATTTGGACTAGTCACAGCTAAACGTGCGTTGCACGTTTTTTTTGAAATACTTTATAAACGCTGTAAAAATAATATTTGAAAATCAGTGAATATAAAAATTAGTTGAAAAAACTGTTTATGTGAAATGAACTTTTTATACAATTCAATTATTTATTTACGTGTATGATAATAATTATCATTAATTTATATATATCATACTATAATTCAATCAATTAATTTTTCAAGTTCATGCACGTACACTTTATATATTTTGGGAGCTATCCAATTACTCTAAAAATACTACAATTCAATTATTTATGTATGTGCATATATACAAATTAACATTTATTTATGGGCCCTGTCTGGTAGCAATTATTTTGGCCAGAAATTAGATTTTTCCTACCGTTAACAATCACTTCAGCCGCACTATTTGACNGCCTACATAATGATTAAATTCGAACTATATATTTCGTTGTATATTCCCCTATTATAATAATTGTTTCTTCAATTTTTTTCCCTAAAAGACCGTATTTTTTTTTTCAAAATTAAAAGCTCACTTCAAATACGTAGTTTTCAAAAAGACTTTTAGTTACTAGTCATAGTTAAATGTGCGTTGTATGTTATTTTGAATGTTTTATAAACGCTGTAAAAATGATATTTGAAAATCAGTGAATATAAAAAATAGTTAAAAAAACTGTTTATGTGAAATGAACTTTTTATACAATTCAATTATTTATTTACGTGTATGTTTAATAATTAACATTTTATTAAATATATATTGAAAAGAGAAAAGTAAGGTACTATTGAAATAATTAAATTGTAGTAAGGCTAAAATCGTACAGAATAATTATTCTGACTTCATGCGATATTTAATATATTATAGATGTGCAACGATTTACATTTTTAGGATATATGACGGCAAATGAAGGGGGATATTCCGTACTATGTCGGTGTCAAGGCTATGTATTTTGGTTATTACATTCTGATTAGTTATAAGCGTTGCAATGTGGCTATTGATCTGTCTGGTGTTTGACATTGAATCATAGTGGATGGCAGCTTGAGCTCGGTCTATGACCGAGTGTACTGTGTAAGAACTTTATCAAGGGTCTCAGGTCTCCTGTTTGATTGTTGGATTGCAGTAGAATAATAGGCATATAAGAACTGCAACTTGTGGTGCTCAATGTCTGAGCACTTGATTATGAAATGCTTAATGATGTTCCTTAGCTGTTGTCCATTCACACAAAAACTCCTCTTCAACCACCATCCTTGAAAGAGGCATGGCAGATTGCCACCAATCATGTTACTTGTGTGTTATATTCCCTACCAAACTCAAGTTCTCAAATCTTGTTTTGCATTGGGTTGACTTTTGAATGGGTTTTTGATACTGGGTTTCAGTAATATTCTGGTGCACTGTTGTTTTTCTTCATGATGATCGTAAGATGCCTTTTAGATGCATTGTGAAATGGAAGGTTTATATATTAATAAATAATCCATTAGTGTAATATTCTTTTGTTTTTCTTTGAATTTTCCTCTTGCAATTTAGACATGATTATGATGTCACAATTTGATGTACTACTTTTATTTCTTCCCTGCTCTGCTCTCATCCTGTTAAAAAAAATGTGAAAACTGATTGGTTCATTACTGAATACTGGCAATACTTGGGCCATCTTGTTTTATGGATACATGCTTTCGCTGTTAACATGAACTGGTAAGGATCTGTTTTTAGTGCTAGATGGGGATTCTAAATGCTAATTATGGTGCAAGATTGTTGGTTTCACGGGTCATCTTCTCCCATCTTGGTGGATCTGTGTGTTTTATAATACTTTCTTGGAAGCCCTGGAGGCAAGATTTCAAATACTTTTAATAAAAACCATTCCAACATCTGAAGCATCTGTTAATGTATGCAATAGATGGTTTCGATGAAGATTTTCCATTTTTAAGTGAGCTTGATTTATAACAATTAAAGAAATATGTTTTTTTCTTTTTCAGGAAGAATTTTGGTTTTTATCCATCTGACATACTAAGTTATGTCATTGCAGCACTTCATATGTTCTTGTACTGCTGATATTATAATTTTCAATATCAATCTTGCTACGATGTACATAGGGCTGGGCAAAAAACCGTCCAACCCGACCGGTTTTGGTCGGTTTTTTTCATTTTTTTGGTTTGGTTCGGGTTTTGGGTGATGACGGCGGGTCGGGTTGCCGGTTGAACCAAAAACTCGCCCAAACCCGACCCGACCCGACCCGACCCGCATATTTTTAAAAAAAAAACCTCAAAACTAAAAGACAATAAAAGTGAGAGATGAGAGTCAGTCACACGACTCACACGAACGAAACCCTACTCTCTTCACTCTTCTCCACTCCCAGCCTCATTTTCTCTCAATCTCCTCTCAAATGGCCACTCAATCTCCTCTCAAATCGCCGGTTTATAAGCCTGATAGAAGTAAACGGGCGAGAGGAGGATTCCGGATCTCGTTTCAATTTCTGGTTTATAGGGCTCAATAGGTGAGTTTCCTTCTCGATTAATGTCTTCTGTGTAATTTAACAATTGGGAATCTGATTTTGATTTGAATCTTTGGATTTTATTTGAATTTGTGATTTTTTAACTTTTGTCCTTAATTTTTGGACCATTGATTTCTTGATTGTGTTATCCCTATTATGAATTTCTTGATTATGTTGCAAAATATGAATATATTTTTAAATTTGTTGGGGATTTGGTTTAGCTGAGTTATTATTAAATTTCTTTATTTGTTGCTGCAGTCAGGATGGCAAGGAGGGGGTATTGGGACACTATTGAGGGTGGGAATGGGGAGGGCGCCTGATAGAGAATTACAGGGTTATCACCATGTTTATGCAAGAGAAACTGCAAGCAAAAACCTTCCATACTCAAAAATTTGTATTTCTTTGTAATTTGGTTCTATGGACTTCCATCTCATATGCGATGGTCCATAAACATATAATTTTGTTGCTTCTTTTGTTTCAAAAAAAAAATCTTCAAGAAAATTGTTGCTTAATAAACCATCTTTATTGGCAATTATTAGTTGCACTCTTCATGCATTTCATAATAGAAGGTGCAAAATAGTTAATTTCGAAATGGAATTTTTCTTGGAGTAAACATGTCATGTTGGCATCTGTTGCTGCACAATACTGTGCAGAACTTGTGAAGATCTATCTATAGATTGCTATAGATACCAATGAGCTTTAATAAATTTATGATACGGGTAATCTTTTTCCAAAATCTTGGTATAATTCTTCATTCTTAGGTTCAGATTCCCTAATGTTCAACCAAAAGTATTTACCTTGTTCATCTATTTTGAGCAAGTCAGTCCATCTCAGTACATTCTCTTTAACGCAATATATTAATGTTGCTTTAAATTTAGTACTTTGGCGACTTTAATATTTGTTGATAACCTAACCCGATCGACGTTTGGTTGGGTTGGATTTCCATCTTTACATGGGTTGGGTTGGGTTGGGTTGAATTTATGCCAAACCGATCATGTTGGGTTGGGTAAAAAACCGACTCAACCCACGCCCACCCCTAATGTACATCCTGGTTTACACTCTGACTTTACACTTGGCAAAATCTCACGTTGTCTCTCATATTTCACACATTTAGTCCAACCATTATAACATTTCCACTCAATCAACTTGTCAACTAAGATGTCAATCAAGGTGTGCAAATAGCTTAATCCTTGTCAGATAGCAAGTTAATAGTGAAAGAATTTTGTTTGCACTGTACCATTCCTGTGGAAGTTTTTCTTAGCGGGTAAGGGGTGTGGGCATCTGGGTATGAAAAGAATATGCATCTGTTGGAAGCCTTACATCACTTAATTTATTTTTCTTGTTGTGAAGTTGATCTTATATGGTCTCTCTCCTAGTTTGGGGGAAGATTTTCTTTCTTCTCGCGTTTGTACAGTGCAAAATCTTCATTCTGAGATAATTGGTAAAATAGGGAAGTAATTTGATCTGCATGCCGATATATAAAGAATTTATTCCCATATGCATAGAGGTTCTGGTTGTGTTGTTAGAGCAAGGGGTTGGAGCTTGTATCCTTTTGTAAAATTTATTTATTGCTTTTAGATCTTTCGCAGAATTAGTTCATTTTCCTTTTCCGACCATATCAATCATTTTGTGGAATATTCTTAGTTGTAATATATCCTCTTGGAGGTAACTGGTAAGCAACTTTTTTCTAATTTGAGCAAGCAGGTTGCTGATAAATCATGAGTGCATCATTGCTTTTAAGAAGCCTGGCAATCTTTCTTTGGGATTAGTGGAAAGCAAGGTGCAGTTTCGTATATAACTGATGATTTCACGTGACAGCTTTTTGGTTAGTCTTCCTTCAGACGTCAGGGTCCATTTCGACCTTATGCAGTCTCTTTGAAGTAAATACTTTTCACGTCTCAAACAGCTCTGAATAAGATCCTTGTATATCCATTTTTGTTAATGAACCTCAGGTTTTGACAGTTAGTGAACTATACCAAATGTACTGAAATTATAAATGGTTTGAAATGATTGGTGTTCTGTGTTAGACAGTTGTTGATTAATCTCTCGTGCACTGTTCTGCTGCTTTTGTGAGATCTCTTTCTTGTTGAATATTTCAACATGAATGGTGTAGCAGAATTTTAGGATTGAAGAACGCAGAGAGATTGGAAAAATCCAACCACCAGAAAGAATGACTGTTGTCTTAGCTTTTGAGAATGCACTTTCTAGTGGTACATTGCTTCTTGATCCTTGAACTACGCAAAGCAAGATGTACTAGAGCTTCTTTCCTCTGTCAGGAGGTGAAAGGATGCACACGACTTCCATGGTTATCTAACCTCCAGAAGGAAGTCAACCAAGATTATCCAAAAGTGCCTTTTAAGAAAGCAGAATTAGGCTATGCTCGAGTTTCCAGAATTTGCAAGCGAGAACTCATTTCCCTGAGCCGGATGAAAGGAAACTTTCACGTCCGAATTTGAAGGGGGAGATCCTATAGGATCCTATCCCAATTTTTCTTTTGCAGGGGGAGATCCTATAGAATCCTATCCCAATTTTTCTTTTGCTAGGCCCATATCTAAAAATTCACAGTTTATTCGAATGTGAAAGTGACTTTAATTTGAAAGATTCGATGAACAAACATTTCAAGATCTTGATTGACAACATCATCTCAGCAATAATAATGACGAAACACAAGATTTTAAAGCTAATCGAACAACTTCTGGAAAAGAAGCTCCACCCCATTTGTTCAAAAAGTTAATGAAAACCAATCATAAGGTTGTAGATTTTTTTTATTATGATTAGCCAATGAAAGCCATTCTCACTTTGATGATCACATTAGAACGGAGTAAGAGGAAAATAAATTTTGCCTTCTTACTAAACTGTAAGAATCATATGTTACTTTGTTTTCTTAAAAAGGAAATGTCCCATCTTCGTTTTGGAAGTTTATGATCCTTTTGATTGTCAAAATCTTTATCATATCTGGTAATTAAATCATGTCTCCATCCATGACTAAAATGTGTTTGTTATGATTAGGTCTAAATATTAGAGAGATTTTAATCAAACATTAGAGGCAAAAATAAAAAATAAATGTGAAAGGAGACAAGAACACAAATTTTTTTGCCCAAGGTTCAGAGAGCCAAATCGTCTAAGGTACAACTTCAGGGAACCAATAATCGAAATTACTCAAGATTTACAAAATCCCTCTTGAAATGATTACCGTTAGGACGAACTTATTATTCTAAATGTATTCCCAAAAAAAAGAAGATTCATTTAGACTTCAAAACACGTGCTGCCATCATCCTTGAACACTATTTTTCCTTAGTTGAGTAGAATTTTCAATTATCCAACACAAAGATGGCTTAAAAGTAGGAAACTTATTTTAAAGAATTTGTTTTCACTAATCTATACTGGTGAGTTAGTGCAAGATGTTGGCTATTGGGGCTAGGCATTCGATGTTACAAAGCTAAACCTTGTTTTAAGAAGAATTAAGGGAAGAAAAATAAAGTGGAAAACAAGTACTCAATAATTGATTAGTGGTTGTGCAATAGCATGCATTCAGAATTAAACAGGATATGACATACCCATACACAGTTCCTTATACACTTGTGTGGGGGCTAAGATTCAAAATATTGAAAAGAATAATGTTATCTAACATTAATGGTTCTATAATATCAGTTTAAACGGGCTACACTTGATATGTTCGAATAAATGAATCATGTGATTGCACATTTAAGTGAATTTATCACGTAGCTGGGTGCTTGACATCCGTGGTGATGAATATGTTGGAATTTGGTTTAAAGATTGGAAAATTTAGGTAAGTATAAAACTTGAAAAGTGACTTTGAGTCAACTTCGATAAAATATTCGAACTTAATTCGATAGTTAAATTACAAATATAAATAGACTAACTTATTCTACTCGTCGAGTAGATCGTCGTGACATATTTGGAATTTCAAAACCAATTTTGGATAAATGAGACATTGCGGTCCAAAGTTGAAGAGAAAAGAGGAAAAACTAGCCAGGAAATTCGCCTAACTCTATCGCTCACCTAGTGCTTGAGCGATGAGACTATTGCTTGAACGACATGCGGGCGACATTTTCTGATGAACATGTGTCACTGTCGCTCAAGCGAAAGGCCAGCGACATGCTAGCGACAGTAAGGAATGCTTCCCTTAATGAAAGTTGCTAAAGTTGAAGAGTGACACTTCACTCACCCTCATCTTTTATAAATAGGACCATTTGGACATCCATAGGCATCCCATATCATATGTATTGAATATTATATCAAAAACTCTTGAAAAAAATCTCCAAAAATCATCTTTTTGTAGAGGGAAGAATTTCGTTCGAGTTCGTTGTTGATTGTGGTTGGAAGTGCTTCTATTTTGGGAGATAGGTGCTGTAATCCGTTAGCACCATTGCGGGGCAATTTTGTCTTAAGGAGAAAGTGTTAATCATTTGTCTCGAATTTCATTATTCATATTTTCTTCATTTTCTTTCTTTTTTTACTTCAATTTCATATAGTTTAATTATGTTCCTGCGAATTAAACTTAAAATATTACATTGTCATTCAATCAACAACCATTTGACTATAATATTTCGCCAACAATCTTAAGACAAAAGCTTGTTAATGTGGTTGTTGTTTAACAAATCATCTCTTTTCATCTTTGGAATTTGTCTTCGTGTGACATTACTTTCTTACATTTTGCGTTAAACTTTTGTTTCAACAGAAATGAATACGGTTGAGACTATTTCAAGTTAAACAACGAATTATACAAACCATGTGGTTCCGTCTTTGGTTATACCTATACCAAATTCCAATATTCCATGTAGGGAAAAACTGGAAAAGTTTGGAGGTGTGGATTTTAAAAGATGGCAACAAAAATGTTCTATCTTTCTACTTTGAATTTGAAAAAGTTCTTAAAAGAGACCGCTCCTGCTATAAAAGAATAAGAAAATAATCGTGAGTCGATTATTGCATTGGATGCATGAAAGCACTCGTATTTTAGTTGCAAAAATTATACTTTAAATGGATAGGACAATACACTTTATGAAGTATATAGTTCAATGGACTCGATCAATGATCTATGGGATTCATTGAAGAAGAAATACAAGATTGAGGTTACCGGGACAACGAAGTTTATTGTCGACAAATTTTTGGACTACAAAATGGTAAACTTAAAAATCGTGATAAGTTAAGTGCAAGAACTTCAAGTTCTACTTCATGACATATATGTAGAAAAGATGGAATTGACCGAATCCTTCCAAGTTGTAGCCATCATTGAGAAACTCCCTCCCATGTGGAGAGACTTCAAAACTATCTCAAGTACAAATGCAAGGAGATGAACTTGGAGGAATTAATAGTCCATTTGAGAATTGAGGAAGACAATGGAAACACCGAAATAAAATCTATTGTTCAATTTGGAACAAATTTTGTTGAAACTGGTTCGAAAGTCATCAATAAGAAGCGTAAGATCTACGGTGTCGTACCAAAAGAGACAACTCCAAGAATGCCAAGAAGTTTAAAGGGAACTATTATAATTGTGAAAAAGTTGGACATCGTTCAAACGAATGTCGAAAGTCGAAGAAGACTACACAAATAAATGTAGTTGAAAAAGACACCATTTCTGAAAGAGTTCAAGAAATGAGTCTATCTACGGCTGTTTCTGAATGCGACATGGTTGGTAATTCAAGGGATTGGTGAGTCAATATTGGTGCTACCCACCATATTTGTGGAACCCACCATTTTTGTGCAGATAAGACCATGTTCTCAAATTATCATGAATTGAAAGGAGAACAACTGTTCTCGTGAGATTCTGCAAGTTCGAAGGTTTAAGGGTTTGGAAAGATCACATTGAAAATGGCTTCTGGAAAAGAACTAGTCATCAATAATGTCCTCCATGTGTTGAACATCCGCAAGAACTTGGTTTCGAGATCTCTACTTAGGAAGAATGACTTTAAATTTGTATTTATGTCGAACAAATTTGTACTTATCAAAAATGATATTATATTGGTAAGGGTTATCTTAGTAAATGAATGCTCCAAATGAACGTTCTTACAGTTGTACCAAAAAGCATTATGAATAAAAATTCTAATTTTGTTTATATGTTTGAGTTGTCTTGTTTATAGCATAATCGATTAAGACACGTTAATTACATATATATATATATGCACAAACTTATGAATCAAAGTTTAATTCCGACGCTTAAGATTGATCATAATCATAAATGTGAAGTATGTGTTGAAGAAAAATTGACCAAAACACATTTTCACTCAATTCAAAGGAACACGACACATTTAGAATTCATGTATAACTATATACGTGATTTAAAATTTGTTCAAACTAAAAGTGGTAAAAAATACTTTATAACTTTCATTGATGATCGTACAAAGTATTGTTATGTCTTTCTACTACGAAATAAAGACGAAGCCTTAAATATATTTAGACATTATAAGACAGAAGTTGAAAATCAACTTGGTAAATGAATAAAAAGTATTCGTAGTGATAAAGGTGATGAATACGGGGTCCCATTTGGTGAATATTGTTTCGAGCATGGAATCATTCATCAAACAACGGCACCTTACTCAACACAATCATATGGTATTGCTGAACGCAAAAATCTAACTCTTAAAGAAATGATGAACGCTTGATTAGTTCGGGTCTACCCAATAACTTGTGAGGAAAGCTATTATATTGGCAAATAACATTTTTAACAAAATACTGATTAAGAAAGTGTGACTGATGTAAGTGTGGGGGTGTGGGGGTGATTGCATATTTATTGGATACACTAATATAGTAGTGTATACCGATTCCTTGTACATAAATCTGAAATTTTAGATATACATGAATGAACCATACTTAAATTGAGAAATGCATAATTCATTGAAAATGTTTCCATGTAAAAACAAGGAAAATACAAATTCTAATAAAAGAATTTATGGTACTACAAATGGCACTTCAAATGAGGAAGAACCAATGCGTAATAAAATGGCTAAAATATCTATTTCGTTTGGCCCAAATTTTCTAACATATATGGTAGAAAACGATCCAAAAACTTTCGATGAAGTAATGTTTATACCGGAAGCACGGTGTTGGAAAGAAGCTATCAATAGTGAGATAGATTCTATAATACAAAACCATACTTGGAAGTTAGTTGATTTACCCCCGAAAATAAGCCTTTGGGGTGTAAATGGATTTTTAAAAGGAAACTAAAATCGAATGTATACATTGATAAGTATATGGCTAGATTAGTTGCCAATG